CACAAACTGCACTATTGAAACAACCTTACATATGAATCTGAGGAATATACAGTATAGTCTTGTCCTACAGTCCACTACAAATCATATCTGTTCTCTAATCAATATGTCTTTCTCTGTATAGGTGGATGTCTTAGTGACCACAGCTGGAGGTATAGAGGAGGATCTGATCAAGTGTTTGGGCCCGATGTACATAGGAGACTTCGATATGCCTGGCAAGCATCTTTACAAAATAGGACTGAACAGGTCAGAGAACATGTTGCATCATCAGAATTTGACACTTTGCAAATGGAAATACCACATTAAAAGTGAAATTAAATTAAAAGAGTTTTTTTTTTTTTAATGTGCTGCGTTCCATTGTTGATACAGGACAGGAAACACACTGATGCCTGAAGAAAACTATGTGAAATTCGACAAATGGTTGATGCCCATTTTAGAGCAGATGCTGCTGGAGCAGAACACTCAGGTGTGTGGACTACTTTTCAAATTTTTCAAATGTTTCCAAAGATTTAAAAAATGCTGCAAGTTTCGAAAATATATTTTAAAAAAACTCAAATAATATTATTTGTAAGACGATTTTATTTCGCCCTCTCATCAAGCGTACTTATTTTTTGTTAACTTCTTTCAGGGCGTTCGCTGGACTCCATCTAAGATAATCCATCGGCTTGGCAAGGAGATCAACAACCCTGAATCTGTTTACTACTGGGCCTACAAGGCGAGTCCTGCCGGTATACATTAGACTGGAAATGTGTGGACTTTTGGAAAAAACGAGGGATTTTCCTCTAAAATACACTAAACATTGATCTGCTGTCGATTTCAGAATAACATCCCGGTGTTCAGCCCTGCCTTGACAGATGGTGCCATCGGAGACGCGTTCTTCCTCTTCTCATTCAAAAAGCCCGGTTTGATACTGGACATAGCTGAGGGTAAAAATAATGGAAAACCTCATTGGTGCTTACCTTATTTGACTCTGTGTTTGTAGTTGGTCTTACTCAATGCATTTGATTCCAGATATTGCAAAGTTGAACCATCTTGCAGTGGCAGCTAACAGCACAGGGATACTCGCCCTGGGAGGGGGCGTGTCCAAACACCAAGTCTGCAATGCAAATGCATGGGTACGTTTTCTACGTTTTTGATTATGAGATTGCTTTGTTCTTATGTAAATACATATATCTTATCAAATATGGAAGAGAGGTTGCAAGTAACTAAAGGATACATTGCTTTGTCTCCCTCCAGAGAGACGGAGCTGATTATGCGGTGTTTGTGAACACGGCTCAGGAGTTCGATGGCTGTGACTCTGGAGCCAGACCTGATGAGGCCGTGTCCTGGGGCAAGATCAGCTTAGATGCCAAACCTGTGAAGGTATTTGATATCAAGTATTATATAATTGGTCCATTACACCTAGCCTGATTGGCCCAATGGGTCAAACCCTCTGATTGGCCCATGTAATCGAGTCATTTGATTGGTCAATTGAATCAAACCCTCTGATTGGTCCAATGGTTCAATTAAAGGGTTCAATCATTATGTGTGACTGGCAAAGCCACACACAGTATAGTATTGGACATACTTACCTTATCGTATTCTCCTTCTTCCGCCACAAATGTTGTCATGCGGTGTTGACACAAAACACACACAAAACACATCAAAGTGTGCGGAATGACCGGGATCGGGGTGCTATGTCTTTTATAAGAGATTCGCCAAGCAGTTTTCATGCAAATCACAGAAAACTGCGATAATTTGCCCCATATGAATGAATGGGAGAGCTGGTTAAGACTTAGATTGGGTGACATCACGGCTAGAGGGGACAGGAGCTGTAAACAAAAACGCTTTGATCTTTGAACACACCTGTCGGTCGTTAATTAAATCCAGTTTCAGTCACAGAGCCAACATTTCTCTGAATTTTGCCGTTAATTTTAGAGATTGAGAAACTTATTCTTTCATCACAATAACAGGTCTGAACAGGCCCTTGTTGGAAAATGTATCTGATGTTTTAACAGCTTCTCATTTCTCTCTTTAGGTGTTTGCAGATGCTTCCATTGTTTTTCCCTTACTGGTGGCAGAGATCTTTGCAGTTCATGCTAATAAGATGACAGCTGGCAAAAACAAGTCAACAGATGTTTCCTAAATCTGTTAGAAACACTAAACATATTTCATTTTCCTATTTATTCTTTCTGTAACATGAACTGGGAAAATAAATGATATATGCATTTAAAAACTGCTCTTCCAGTCTTGACTACTCAAACTCAGCATTCACCCATTCATAAACATACAAGTTTCCACCTGCTCATCACTGTAGACCAGGGGTGCCCAACCTTTTTTGAACCGAGAGCTACTTTTAAAGTTGCCAGTCTGCCGAGATCTACCAGTCCAAATAGAGAGGCGTAGCCATTACTGACAGCCTACTACCAGGTAAATACGCACTTCTACTATAAAACTGACCTTTGTACGATTAATACTTCATAAAATACTGCAGATCCTTTATCTTACCTATTTCTAATCTACACACATACAAGTATTTAACTGAAGTTACACAACAGTGTTGTTGATACAGAGTTGGAGTTTATTCACACGTCACATACTACAGTGGGTAATGTTTTCAAGAAACATTGAACAGTGCTGCCACATATGACACAGGAAAACAAGAAAAGACTGAACCCTTTCTTTGCCATTATATCAAAATAGTGTTGCTACAAACGTATAAATGAGGCTTACTAATAAGACAACTCAGATCTGAAGCTACACAGGAATCTGCTGCAACAGTGCAATAAAAAAGACAAAATTAATAGAATCAAACCCTTTTTTTGTTGCATTTTAGTAGAGTATAAAAATAAATGCCTTTTAAAATAGGATGCAAGCAACACTAGTTTCTTAACCTGAATTGATAATAGACTATAATCAATTTAAGTTTGCATTCTTATACCATTTTGTACAATAATTATAATGAATAAGTTCAAACAAACTCAAACTTACAGCTGATTAATAACGGTATCTAACTTGAGTTTTTATTATATCAAAAACCTGTTGAAATGCTTCTGTTATTTTTATTACGCATCGGCAGCCTCCAGGAATGCTTCTTTCACAACTTCGCCGTCTTTGAAAGACTTCATGTGTTTCTCAAGAACGTGACTGACACGATAAGATGCTATGGTAGCAGCCTTGCTCTTGTTGTTGGGCCTGGTGGAAAATGGACTGCTGTGCATTTAGCTGTCCTTTCAGGCCCCTCCCCTTTTGGGAGCGTATGGCAGAATTAGGAGGGAATTCCGTCTCGTAGCGTTTGTGCACTGTTTTGAAATGCCACTCCTAAATGACCCTTCTTCGATAAAGCCACGCTCGCATTGCAGATGAGACAGATGGACTTTGAATTGGAATAGATACAAAAATAATCATCCTCCCACTCGGAGTGAAAATTATATATTTTGGGCTTTTTTGCTTCTGCCATAATTACGGTCTTGTGTGTGTGCGGACTGTCACTCCTGTTGACACGGACAACGTCAGCGAACTAGTGCACTGCCCACCAGCCACGCCCCGACACATGGGGTCACGCCGGCCAATCACAAAGCTTTGATGCGTTCAAGTGCATTATTCTGGCACAGGAAGATGATGTTACAGGACATTAACGATAAAACAGAATATTGTTGTTCTATTTTTAGACACATCTCGCGATCGACTGGGAATCTCCCCGCGATCGACTGGTTGGGCACCCCTGCTGTAGACTAACATTCACACACATTCACATACATTTTGGGAGCCAATATTGTTCTTTTTCACTACATTTATGTGTACTACTTTACATATTCAGACGATAAGATAATACAAAATACAAATAGGCCTACAGATTACCATGACTGAATATTAAGTATTAGAATTCATTGCAGAGATCGGAACAACTCACAGGCTATTCTTTCACACACAGTGACGTCACAGCTACCCACAATGCAACGCGCGCCATATATTTTTTTATAAAGACGCCATTTTTCTGGAGGTGCAAAAATCCTGGCAATGCTAATATAAACAGCTAGCTTATGTAGCCAGGCAGAGCGCACTAGGTTTTTATGTCAAGTCCCCTGTCGGCTTTTTCCAACGCAAGGGGGGGGCCCTTAGCGTCCATTTTCAGCTTTCCGGGATGTCCATATTATTACATTACATTTAGCTGACGCTTTTATCCAAAGGGACTTACAATAAGTACATTCGACCAGGAAGACACAACCTTGAAGAAAACAGAATCATATAAGTACATCAGGTTTCATAGAGCCAAACATTTCAAGTGCTACTCAACTGGCTTTAGGTAAGCCAGTCCTTTATTAGTATAAAAGTGCTTCGTTAATAGTTCTAACGCTCGAAGTGGAGTTGAAAGAGATGAGTTTTCAGTTTGCGCCGGAAGATGTGCAAGCTATCTGCCGCCCTGATGTCAATGGGGAGCTCATTCCACCATCTTGGAGCCAGGACAGCAAACCCACGTGTTTTCGCCGATGGGAACTTGGGTCCCCCTCGCAGCGAGGGCGCAACGAGTCGTTTGGCTGATGCAGAGCGTAGTGCACGCGCTGGGGTGTACGGTTTAACCATGTCCTGGATGTAGGAAGGGCCAGATCCATTCGCAGCATGGTAAGCAAGTACCAGTGTCTTGAAGTGGATTCTAGCAGTTACCGGAAGCCAGTGAAGGGAGCGGAGGAGCGGAGTGGTGTGGGAGAATTTAGGAAGGTTGAAGACCAGACGAGCCGCTGCATTCTGGATGAGCTGCAGAGGTCGGATGGCACATGCAGGTAGACCAGCCAGGAGGGAGTTGCAGTAGTCTAGGCGTGAGATGACGAGAGCCTGGACCAGAACCTGAGTCGCTTTCTGAGTCAGCTGGGGACGTATCTTCCTGATGTTGTAAAGCGTGTATCTGCAGCAACGGGTTGTAGCAGCGATGTTTGCAGTGAAGGACAGGTTGTTATCTAGGGTCACACCCAGATTCCTTGCAGTCTGAGTCGGGGAAACAACTGAGGTGCCGATGTTGACATAATCCATATATTTCACTATAGGTTGATGCTTAGCTAAGCTAACTATGAAACACTTTAACTGACAGGACTCAGGATCAACGGTGTACTGTAAGGTAGCTTCATGCCGAACAGTCAACATTTTCCAGAGAGCTTTCTTTGAAATCACCAGGTAACGCTAAAAAACATTACATTTAGATTGTATGATAAAGTGTTTATTTAATATCTCTGGCTAACTACTTCCTAACGGTTTAGCTTACCCCCGCGATTCAAAGTAACGTCAACGTAGCTGTAATTTATGCTTTGCTTACATGTTCGCATAACTTGGAAGTTTACTGACATTTACATACCTTGTTTACCTGGCTCAAGTGGTGAATCTGGGGTTGTTGTGTGAGCCACCACTTGAGAATTGTCGTATTTTTTAAGAAAAAATGTTCTTATGTCCATCTTCAAAAACTCTGAGTCCGACTGACAGTTTAAACATTGTCACAGGATAGGTACCTGTACCAATAAGGTACCAATAAGACTATATTTTATTTCCATGCAACTCTCTGGTTGGTCTGGTGTCTTGCCTCTGTTGCATTCACTGAACACGGGAAATTACAATACTGCCGTCCTCTCATGATGAGGTTCAGGTAAAGCATTCTATAAGAATAAAACACGGAGGACGGAGATCTCTTTTTGTCCCCCTCCTCTCCCCGCTGCAGCCCATCAGCTGATCTCAAAGCACGCTCCCCTCTCCTGCAGGGGGGAGTGGTCAGCTGCAGCTCACAGAATCAGCCCCCTGCAAAAACAGCGCTGGAAAGAGCATATAGAGCGAAATGGTGTTTTGAAAAAAACAACTATATTTATATACTTTATATAGGTATGGCCCTACAACATATTGTTCAAATATAGCATGATAGGTCACCTTTAATGTATTATATTATTGAGGGAGAATTGTCCGGGGCTACAGAAATAACATTCGGGGCTTTGGTCCTGTATAATAAGTTAACGTCATATTAAATGCAGTCATTTGGTCTTTAGCAACAGCTTGTGAGAGCAGTGCATTCATCGGTGTTCGTTTGAATGCTGCCAGTTTGTTGACGGCCTGTGTGTTGATGGGACTTCTCATGCTCCCTAAATGTTTCCCCTGCCTTTCGCCAGTTCTTAAATCCTCGTTTCACAAAACTCCCATCCCTGATCTTGTCTGCACTGAAACAGAAGAAGCACACCGCATTATCACTTTCTCTTATTATTTAGTGAAGCTTTGTATTAACTGCTTACACTAAAATGCTAACTCAAAAATAGTAACTCAAAATTAAACTTTTGTATTGATTTGTTTAGTGAACTTTTTGGCGTTGCAGTTACAACTCTCTGCCAACATATGGGGGTGCTGCAGCCCCCTCAGCACCCACCCTTCCCGCGTCCCTGCTGGGTTACCTCAGCTTTGGTCTAACCTACTTGGTGATCTCATATTTTAGGCCACTCAGTCTCAACCCTTAATACATGCAAACAGTTGATGTGGATCTGCATCAAATGCACAATTCAAGAGAACCACAACAACTTACCAAAGTTAACAAACCTGCATATGTTTGATCTTGAGGAAAATAGCTCTTTTACATTCAAGTTGTATAGATATTTACACTTCCCACTTCCAGAACTTATTTAGGAATGTTTGTTATTGTTCTTTCAGACAATATGGCACACCATGCCCACCCATTACCTGAAAATACCTATAGAGAAATGGAGCCAGTGCCAGAGGATACACCAAAGATCCAGGGCTATGACGTCAACCAGGGAGTGGACTACCGCGCACTGATGAAGTCCTACCTTACCACCGGTCTGCAGGCCACTAGGGTGAGCTTGGCTATCCAGGAGATCAACAAAATGGTGAGATGGTGGAACATAGAAAGAGATATTTTATGAATACGCACGTACATTTCTTTGGTTTTGTTAGATTGTATTGTTATCTTTTGATAATGCACAATTAACTGATTGCCTGATGATCGTTTGAATCGGTCTAATTCACTCCACATCTAGATCGAGAGGCGCCAGCAACCGATGAAGAGGATAAATGGATTTGCTGAGGAAGACCCATCCACTTGCCCCTGCCTTAACAGCTGCACCATCTTCTTCAGTTACACCTCAAACCTCATCAGCAGTGGAGTCAGGGAGAGTATCCGCTATCTCGCAGAACACAAAATGGTACAACTCTCCTCAAAAACAAGGCATTAGCACCAGGATTAAGTAGTTTTCTAAAATATTAAACTAAATTACATAGATTTTTTATTAAAACAGTACATGATTGATCCATCAGTTGAGAAAAAGATGAATAGGTAATTAAAATAATAGTGCTAATCATTTGTATAAAGATCACAATTTCTCTCTGACTATTGTTAAATGTTAGATGCTATCTTGTCCACAAACTGCACTATTGAAACAACCTTACATATGAATCTGAGGAATATACAGTATAGTCTTGTCCTACAGTCCACTACAAATCATATCTGTTCTCTAATCAATATGTCTTTCTCTGTATAGGTGGATGTCTTAGTGACCACAGCTGGAGGTATAGAGGAGGATCTGATCAAGTGTTTGGGCCCGATGTACATAGGAGACTTCGATATGCCTGGCAAGCATCTTTACAAAATAGGACTGAACAGGTCAGAGAAACATGTTGCATCATCAGAATTTGACACTTTGCAAATGGAAATACCACATTAAAAGTGAAATTAAATTAAAAGAGTTTTTTTTTTTTAATGTGCTGCGTTCCATTGTTGATACAGGACAGGAAACACACTGATGCCTGAAGAAAACTATGTGAAATTCGACAAATGGTTGATGCCCATTTTAGAGCAGATGCTGCTGGAGCAGAACACTCAGGTGTGTGGACTACTTTTCAAATTTTTCAAATGTTTCCAAAGATTTAAAAAATGCTGCAAGTTTCGAAAATATATTTAAAAAAACTCAAATAATATTATTTGTAAGACGATTTTATTTCGCCCTCTCATCAAGCGTACTTATTTTTTGTTAACTTCTTTCAGGGCGTTCGCTGGACTCCATCTAAGATAATCCATCGGCTTGGCAAGGAGATCAACAACCCTGAATCTGTTTACTACTGTGCCTACAAGGCGAGTCCTGCCGGTATACATTAGACTGGAAATGTGTGGACTTTTGGAAAAAACGAGGGATTTTCCTCTAAAATACACTAAACATTGATCTGCTGTCGATTTCAGAATAACATCCCGGTGTTCAGCCCTGCCTTGACAGATGGTGCCATCGGAGACGCGTTCTTCCTCTTCTCATTCAAAAAGCCCGGTTTGATACTGGACATAGCTGAGGGTAAAAATAATGGAAAACCTCATTGGTGCTTACCTTATTTGACTCTGTGTTTGTAGTTGGTCTTACTCAATGCATTTGATTCCAGATATTGCAAAGTTGAACCATCTTGCAGTGGCAGCTAACAGCACAGGGATACTCGCCCTGGGAGGGGGCGTGTCCAAACACCAAGTCTGCAATGCAAATGCATGGGTACGTTTTCTACGTTTTTGATTATGAGATTGCTTTGTTCTTATGTAAATACATATATCTTATCAAATATGGAAGAGAGGTTGCAAGTAACTAAAGGATACATTGCTTTGTCTCCCTCCAGAGAGACGGAGCTGATTATGCGGTGTTTGTGAACACGGCTCAGGAGTTCGATGGCTGTGACTCTGGAGCCAGACCTGATGAGGCCGTGTCCTGGGGCAAGATCAGCTTAGATGCCAAACCTGTGAAGGTATTTGATATCAAGTATTATATAATTGGTCCATTACACCTAGCCTGATTGGCCCAATGGGTCAAACCCTCTGATTGGCCCATGTAATCGAGTCATTTGATTGGTCAATTGAATCAAACCCTCTGATTGGTCCAATGGTTCAATTAAAGGGTTCAATCATTATGTGTGACTGGCAAAGCCACACACAGTATAGTATTGGACATACTTACCTTATCGTATTCTCCTTCTTCCGCCACAAATGTTGTCATGCGGTGTTGACACAAAACACACACAAAACACATCAAAGTGTGCGGAATGACCGGGATCGGGGTGCTATGTCTTTTATAAGAGATTCGCCAAGCAGTTTTCATGCAAATCACAGAAAACTGCGATAATTTGCCCCATATGAATGAATGGGAGAGCTGGTTAAGACTTAGATTGGGTGACATCAAGGCTAGAGGGGACAGGAGCTGTAAACAAAAACGCTTTGATCTTTGAACACACCTGTCGGTCGTTAATTAAATCCAGTTTCAGTCACAGAGCCAACATTTCTCTGAATTTTGCCGTTAATTTTAGAGATTGAGAAACTTATTCTTTCATCACAATAACAGGTCTGAACAGGCCCTTGTTGGAAAATGTATCTGATGTTTTAACAGCTTCTCATTTCTCTCTTTAGGTGTTTGCAGATGCTTCCATTGTTTTTCCCTTACTGGTTGCAGAGACCTTTGCAGTTCATGCTAATAAGATGACAGCTGGCAAAAACAAGTCAACAGATGTTTCCTAAATCTGTTAGAAACACTAAACATATTTCATTTTCCTATTTATTCTTTCTGTAACATGAACTGGGAAAATAAATGATATATGCATTTAAAAACTGCTCTTCCAGTCTTGACTACTCAAACTCAGCATTCACCCATTCATAAACATACAAGTTTCCACTTGCTCATCACTGTAGACCAGGGGTGCCCAACCTTTTTTGAACCGAGAGCTACTTTTAAAGTTGCCAGTCTGCCGAGATCTACCAGTCCAAATAGAGAGGCGTAGCCATTACTGACAGCCTACTACCAGGTAAATACGCACTTCTACTATAAAACTGACCTTTGTACGATTAATACTTCATAAAATACTGCAGATCCTTTATCTTACCTATTTCTAATCTACACACATACAAGTATTTAACTGAAGTTACACAACAGTGTTGTTGATACAGAGTTGGAGTTTATTCACACGTCACATACTACAGTGGGTAATGTTTTCAAGAAACATTGAACAGTGCTGCCACATATGACACAGGAAAACAAGAAAAGACTGAACCCTTTCTTTGCCATTATATCAAAATAGTGTTGCTACAAACGTATAAATGAGGCTTACTAATAAGACAACTCAGATCTGAAGCTACACAGGAATCTGCTGCAACAGTGCAATAAAAAAGACAAAATTAATAGAATCAAACCCTTTTTTTGTTGCATTTTAGTAGAGTATAAAAATAAATGCCTTTTAAAATAGGATGCAAGCAACACTAGTTTCTTAACCTGAATTGATAATAGACTATAATCAATTTAAGTTTGCATTCTTATACCATTTTGTACAATAATTATAATGAATAAGTTCAAACAAACTCAAACTTACAGCTGATTAATAACGGTATCTAACTTGAGTTTTTATTATATCAAAAACCTGTTGAAATGCTTCTGTTATTTTTATTACGCATCGGCAGCCTCCAGGAATGCTTCTTTCACAACTTCGCCGTCTTTGAAAGACTTCATGTGTTTCTCAAGAACGTGACTGACACGATAAGATGCTATGGTAGCAGCCTTGCTCTTGTTGTTGGGCCTGGTGGAAATGGACTGCTGTGCATTTAGCTGTCCTTTCAGGCCCCTCCCCTTTTGGGAGCGTAGGGCAGAATTAGGAGGGAATTCCGTCTCGTAGCGTTTGTGCACTGTTTTGAAATGCCACTCCTAAATGACCCTTCTTCGATAAAGCCACGCTCGCATTGCAGATGAGACAGATGGACTTTGAATTGGAATAGATACAAAAATAATCATCCTCCCACTCGGAGTGAAAATTATATATTTTGGGCTTTTTTGCTTCTGCCATAATTACGGTCTTGTGTGTGTGCGGACTGTCACTCCTGTTGACACGGACAACGTCAGCGAACTAGTGCACTGCCCACCAGCCACGCCCCGACACATGGGGTCACGCCGGCCAATCACAAAGCTTTGATGCGTTCAAGTGCATTATTCTGGCACAGGAAGATGATGTTACAGGACATTAACGATAAAACAGAATATTGTTGTTCTATTTTTAGACACATCTCGCGATCGACTGGGAATCTCCCCGCGATCGACTGGTTGGGCACCCCTGCTGTAGACTAACATTCACACACATTCACATACATTTTGGGAGCCAATATTGTTCTTTTTCACTACATTTATGTGTACTACTTTACATATTCAGACGATAAGATAATACAAAATACAAATAGGCCTACAGATTACCATGACTGAATATTAAGTATTAGAATTCATTGCAGAGATCGGAACAACTCACAGGCTATTCTTTCACACACAGTGACGTCACAGCTACCCACAATGCAACGCGCGCCATATATTTTTTTATAAAGACGCCATTTTTCTGGAGGTGCAAAAATCCTGGCAATGCTAATATAAACAGCTAGCTTATGTAGCCAGGCAGAGCGCACTAGGTTTTTTTTCTGAATTAACGACCGAAGAAATCGCTGCATGTCTTCGGATTACATTATCTGCTCCCTGATCTCACGGAAAATTGTAAGTGGCTTATTATTATTACAAGTTAATACTTGTAAATACAACTTTTGGCCCGTAATTTCAATTCCCCATTTCAGCGACCAGAGAGAGGGGGGGGGGGATATATCCAGTCTCTGATTGTGTTACGTTATTATGAGAGTGCTCTCATACTTTAAATTGTATATATTTATATAAATATATTTGTGTGTCCGCATCTGTAGCCTGTTATTGTCTCATTATACCGCACTCTCAATGAATTCAAAGTAAATATGTGGGGGAACAATGTTCAGCTGATCTAACAGAGATACAGCGCTATGACAAAACACTCGACAGCTGATGCAGCTGTTGCCACGTAATAATGAACGGACGTCGCTTTAATATGACCGCTCAGAGGAGAGGAGTTATCATTTCTTTAAACGCCTGCTGCTTCCACTCCTCTCTCCTCGGTTCCCCTCCTCGGTCCTCCGCTCGCATCTCCTGTGGGTGGGTCTAAGTATCGAGGAGGGGAACCGAGGAGGGGAAATTTGAGTATTGAGAAGCCTCTCCTGATATTCTGTATGCACCTCGCGTGAAATGGTTGATACCGGAAGTACGGTGTCGCCCTCGGCCCAAAACCCGTATGTGTGTGTGAAATAATGCCTACAAACTAATTTAAATGTCAACTTTTCTCACAAAACTCATCAAGGGTGTTTTTTAAGAGGTGATGCTCTTGGAAACTCGTGGCAAATAAAGTCACTTAAAATGTACTAATGTACTTACTAATTATTATTAATGTAATTATTAATTAATCATTAAGGCAAGGCAAGTTTATTTATATAGCACCTTTCAACACAAGGCAATTCAAAGTGATTTACAAAAATGAAAGACATTAAGAGCATCCAGTTTTTGTAAGTCAAACTCCTCACTCTCACACTTTTCTCTCTTGAATCTGAAATAATCACTGACAAAAAAGCAAAAAGCAGCAGGTTGATGGAGAAACAGCTGCTGAGAAAATACTATTTGTTATGCGTGGAATTGCCAAAATGTTATAAGCCCTTGTAAACAGTGACACAGTAAAGTATAGAACAGAATTAGACATTTCACATGGGCAATGATTCAGAGACAAATAAAGAAACTGTAGCTGCAACGATAAATACTTAATTTATTATTTGTTAACTAATAAATGAATCAACAACTATTTTGATGATTTTAGTTATTCTTTATGCACACTTCTCAGATTTCAGCTTTTTGGGGCTTTTATTTGAAACTACTTCCGAGAAATTAGACCGGAACCGGAAGCTGCGTTTGGGATGTTTTCGGCCAGGAGTTCGTCTTGGCAAAACTTGATATTCCTGAATCATATTAGATTCCAGTCATATTTGTGTTTGTTTAACTTTACAGATAGTGGTCACTGTTTTGTTGGGTGAAGGCTTGTTACCGGCGCTTGGCATCGTCAACGGCTGCACCTGACATCACTTAAAGCCAACGTTAACCTGCTGTCGTTGTCAACGTTACGTTAAATTAGTTTGTTTTGTATGTATGTAACATTCATCAGGTGCTTATATACTCCTATCTGGCGAAACCTAAAAAGGGATTGCATTCATGGGTAGCTAAAGCTTTATTCAAGCATCTTACCTCTACATTGAGCTCACGCTAAGCTAACCTAAAGATTTGCATTGCCATATATGTAAGACGTCCAAACTAAATAAAGGAAGTGTTAGTTTGAAGTAATGCTAGTTACAGTGAGTGACGACCAAATAAAATATAAGTAATGCTAGTTTAAATTGATGTTATCTTACAGTGTATGACGACGGCAAAACAAAGTAAAGGAAGTGTTAGTTTAAAGTAATGTTAGCAGTGAATAAGTAGAGGTCTTTGACAGAGGAAAGGTGATGTCTGAGGCCAGGATTACTGTGTGTGACTCGGAGAGCGGACCCGGTCCTGACCCGCTGACATCTCCCAGTGCTGAAGCTTCTGGGCCCGACTTGAAAGGGTAAGACTTTCTTACTTTATACTAATCAAATCAAGTTTTATTTATATAGCACATTTATAAACGATTTTTGGTCGAGCCAAAGTGCTGTACATAAAATAAAAATAGCCTACAGTAGAGACACTTTACAGCAAATACAACAGCACAGATTGTTCAGAATATCAGTATGAGAAAAACGACACCCTCTATCCTTAGACCCTCACATCGTACAAGGAAAAACTTCCAGAGAAAACAACTGGCTGTTAATTTTACACAAGTATAAGGGATTAACAAAGGTGGAAGAATACCTCAGATGTTCTACTAGTAAAAGTAGAAATACCATAGTGTAGACCTGAGTAAAACAATGTTACTTAAGTGAAAGTCGAAAAGTATTGACATCTAAATACTTAAAGTACCAAAAGTATTCATACAGATAAGCCCATTTAAAAATCATACATATGATAATATCATAATCATTGATGATGACATTTTAATTATTGTATTTACAGCTGGGTAACACGTGAATTTAATCCAGATGTAACTAAAGGCTTGTTTAAGTGTTGATCAGATTTTTTAAAATAATTTACCCATATTTACCAAGTAGCTAAAGGTTCTAAGTAAATGTAGTGGAGGTAAAAGTCAACCATTTACCTCTGAATTGTAGTGGAAAATAATTACAAAGAAGCATAAAATGGAAATACAAGTACTTCAGAATTGTACAGTACTTGAGTAAATGTAGTAACTTTACACCACTGGCGGTTAATAACCAGGTTGCTTTATATTTTCTTTCCAGTCTTGTGCCTGCTAGTCCCCGGTCCTCAACAGATGTTAGCCCCTCACCTTCTACTGAGATGAGTGGCTTGTTGTCGTTACCATGGGAGATGTTGACACACATTGCCTCTCACCTTCCTGCTCAGTGTGTCATCACTGTGCTGCCAAAGGTTCGTCAAACATTCCATAATTTCCATACAAGTATTTTAAAGATGTCTTGAAGGCCAATTGGTGTTGTTTAATCACTAGATTTAGGTATCACAATGTGATTAGATATTTCTAGTGGGAAACCGTTGTCAGGTGTAATCTCATGCACATGTGCCATCCTCATGCAAGTGTTAACATCGCTATTAGAGTTGAGAAACAGTATGGCAACTATTACAAATGTTA